CGGACATGGCAAGCTGCCACTATGCCAAGGACACATTGGTCAATTGTCAAAGGAATCTTGAAGAAAACAGGGGAAACAGTGAAAAATATTGAAGAGTGCAAAACAAAGTTGTTGTGCGCATCGCGTAAAGTCGATGATGCAGTCGTGCAGAACATGATGGCGCGTGTGCTTTGAAAATACCGATCACTTGCATATGGAGCAAATAATAACTAATATTTTAACATTTTAATAACATCTAAACTTCCAAGTTATATAATACAAAAAAAAAAAATAATTTCGAAGCCTTCTAGTTTGTTCCTGGTAGTAATCTCTAAGTGTCGCAGTTTTGGTGTGTTCACCCTTTATGCCATTAATTGTAGTTTTTAACTTCAAAATTTGTTCTGAAAAATTTGTAGCTTTCGTTTTTCTGAAAAAAATTGAGTTGACCCTTTTTCGAACAAAATTTAGTATGTAGTGCTAACTTGACACCATGCACCATTGACGACAGAATTGAGATATTGAAAAGGTTGCAACGGCATTAATTGTAGCTTTTTTGTTGTAAATTTGTTGTGGAAAGAAACAATTTGTAGCTTTCGATTTTTAAGAAAAAATTATATGTAGTGCTAACTTGACACCGACACTATATATAATTTTTTCTTAAAATAGGAAAGCTACAAATTTTTTCACTCCCCAACAAATTTACAACAAAAGCTACAATTAATGCCGTTATAACATTTTCAATATCTCAGTTCTATTGACTAGGTGTATGGTGTCAAGTTAGCACTACACAGCCTTTTTTCTTAAAAAACGAAAGCTACAATTTTTTTCTTTCCACAACAAAAAAACTACAATTAATGCCGTTATAACATTTTCAATATCTCTTTTCTATCGACTAGGTGTATGGTGTCAAGTTGGCACTACATACTCTTTTTCTTAAAAAACGAAAGTGACAATTTTTTTCTTTCCGCAACAAATTTACAACAAAAACACCACAATTAATACCGTAGTTAACTTTCCAATTTCGAAAAGTGTAGTGCTAACTTGACACGTCTGCGACTGGTAGTTAACTTTTCCAATTTCGAAACGTGTAGTGCTAACTTGATACACGTGTTTTTTTCTGCAGACGGTGTCATGGATTTTCTTCCATATAAAGAAATTGTCGACCACACTGGTATGTACGAAGATGCGTGACACCGTCAGCGAAAACAATATCAAAAATCAACGGGATTTTTTAGAATCCAACTTGCTGTAAAATTGCATAATCAAAATTGTTCTAAAATATCTGAAAGTTGAAAGTTTTTATGAACATTTTTTGAATGTTCCTTAATTGTGCACAAAGTTACATTTTTTTATGTTTGTGTTGTAGCGGTATGAACTATATACATATTTATATCTAAAAAAAAAATTAAAAAATTAAAAAATTTTAAAATCTTTGCATACATTGTAAAAAACTCTGCATCTACCTAGACTTTTGCGGTTGACTGTATGTACAAGTATTCGCAAGCGCTTCCATGTTCTCCGGCACAAGATCGCAAATTGCTGCTTGAACGCCATTAAGATAACGTTGCTATAATAAGTTGGTGCTACAAAAAAATCACGTAATACACCCGCAACAAAATTTAGTGTAGGTTGTAGGTAGGGTCTAGTACAACATGAAAATAGTAAATATGAGTAAATATTGATGAATTCCTTTGCCACACTGTTCAAAACATCTGAAAGTTCCGTACATACACACATAAATTCAGCGCCCTATTTGTACTTTAATAGTTTAACTTCGACAATTTTTATGCGATTGCATTAAGTGAGGTATCAATTTGTTCGAAAGTAAATGTACTTTTAGATAAATACTACATATTGAAAATATTAGGAAAAATTGGGTTTTTTTTTCATTTTGCCCGATGACAACTCCCAACAATAGAAATCTAACAATAAGTTACACATCATTTTAATGATCTAAAAATCCCCTTTGCAAAACATGTTTGATTTTTAAAATCGGATGAAAAATAGTTAAGCTGTTAATAGATAAGTGCATCAAGTACGAGACTAACGGGGTTTTCGTGGTTCAGGAACTAAGAGAACTAGTAATAATCCGCGAAAATCGGGTTGATACGTGGTCTAAAAAATCTGTATATTTATTTATTGTAAAACCACATGCATTGCTTTTGGTAGTTAACTTTAACTTTGGTATTTTGGCAAGATCCCACTCTACTCAATACGTATACGAGTACATAGCTGGCCTTGAGACTTATTTATTGTAATTGCGAACGCTACAATAATTTTGAATTGGCGACGTTTAAGTACGTTTAAGTAAGGAAGTGTTGATTCGTTGGGCTGTTAATTTTTATGGGGTAGTAAAATTCGTTTCCCTTGTGAATCACATGTTTAAAGTCCATTAACTAAGCCTTTATACATACGTACATATTTGTATTGCGGCATCCAAACAATTATATTGTAGTTCTTTAACTATTAGGCGAGACCACTAACTAACCCTTCATATGTATGTATGTATTTAGGTCGCGAATTAACATCACAGCTGCTCCAACTTTCAGTATCAAGTCATGGGGTACAACTCTCCTACTCCTACTTGCTCCTGTGGATATTCGAAACGACAGTAGATATCGACGCCATAGTAAACATTTGATTATACGGACAACATATTAACTATTTCTTTATTAACTATCGTCAGGATCAGGATTATTTTTTTGGAAACGAAATTGATCGATCCTTCAAGTGGTTTTGATTAATTAAACCAGACGGAGGTTCAAATACCCAATCGACTGAATCTCGCAAAATAATCTCTTGTGGCACTTATCTTAATATTTGAGTCTGGCGAAAAATAATCAGATTCTCTGAAACGCATATATGTATATCGAGAGTTTAAAATACTTTACCGTTCCCTAAGTTCGTAGGCCACGATTTTTTTTAAGTTTTCCAGCATTTTCAAATTATACAAAATTGAAAATAAAGAATTGGAATTGTTCAAAATTGTTGTTGTTGGGAATTGAAAATGCGAATGTGTGTGTGGAATTCAGTTTTACATTTTAAAATTGTTCAATGTAAAACTTTAAAAATCTTTCCGCGCAAATACATATGTATGTATATCAAATGATTCTTAAATCTGAAATGTTTGTGCAAAGTTTCAGATCGAGCACTTTAATTGATATATAAATTGTCTCTGTATGATTAGACATAGATATATAAATATATTTATAATACATATAAAACCATATTTCTCTCATTATAAAAAAAGCAAACATTTTTGTTTTGCAGATGTGTAATAATAATTGATGTATAATTTGTCTCTGTGCGATTTGTAGATGTGTTGTTTTAGAATAATATATGTGACCTGGTCTACGGAAAGGGGGCTTAGGTGTCAAAAAATCAATTTTCACTTTTTGGTTGATTCGGATGGAAGATGAGATGCTTTTTCACGTGGTGAAAAGCAGAAAATCCTAACTTGCTTAGAAGT